ACTGTTGCCTCACAGCAAGAAGGTCTCTGGTTCGAGTCCCAGCTGGGCCAGTTAGCATTTCTGTGTGGAGTTTGCATGTCCTGCACGTGTTGGTGTGGGTTTCCTCTGGGTGCTCTGGTTTCTCATACAGTGTAAATACATGCGGTAGGTGAATTGAATAGACTAAATTGGCCATAGTGTATGTGTGAATAAGTGTGTTTGAGTGTTTCCCAGTTCTTGGTTGCAGCTGGAAGGGCATACGCTGTGTAAACCATCTGGTGGATAAGTTGGCGGTTCATTCCGCTGTGGTGACCCCTGATGAAAAAGGGATTAAGCCGAAGGAAAATTAATAAATGAAATGGTTTGACAATAATCTTAAAGTTTTGTCATCAAGATATTGGTCAATTTTTACTAACATTAAAAAGCGTGCACAAACGACTGAGACTGTTGAGTTTTAGCCCAGAACACTGGTGTACTTTGACTGAAATATGAACAAAACGTCTAAACTAATCAAAAACAAGATATGATGTCAATAGATGCGAACACACAAAGGACAGAATGCTCAAGGTTACCTGTTTTTTTTGTCACAACCACAATGTTGCCCATTAAAACAGGCATTGAAAACACTTCTCCTTGTAAATCTTCATTTGTGTGTACAGTATATGATGGAGGAATTCCTGGCATTATTTGGACTTCTTTATAAGCTCTTCACAAGTTCTCATCTAAAAATACCATCAAATATACTCACACACAGAACAACAAGTGCATTGAAAGGCATAGTTTACCCACAAATGAAAATTTACTCACTGTTTGCTCTCCCTCAAGTGTTTCATGAGTTTCTCAACAACCACTGATGTCCATTGTAGGAAAAAGATACTATGGAACTCAATGACCATTTACCAACATTCTGTTGCAAGTGCAGGGTGATTAAATGAACTATCCATTATACCCAACTCACAGCATTGTTCTGGTTAGTCTGGTCAAAAATATAATTTAAACAACGAATAAAACATAAATAATAAATAAGAATTTATTTATTCATTCATTTTTAAATTCGGCTTACTAAGTGATTGCTCAGCGAACCAGGATTAAATATTATTTTCTCTTTTTAGTCGAAAAAAAAAAAAAAAAACTCACCCTCAGTACATTAGTTTGGCCACTTAAACAAATATTTATAAGTGAAAAATCTATTTTTTATTAATTAAAAAAATATTATTAAATTATTAATTAATAAAAATCTATTTATTAATATTGAATTCTATAGAAAATATAAATATCTAGCATTAGTATTTGCATATTGGTGACATGGTGGCTCAGTGGTTACCACTGTTACTAGTTCGAGTAAGAATGTCTGTGTGGAGTTTACATGTTCTCCCCGTGTTTGTGTGGTTTTCCTCCGGGAGCCCCGATTTCCCCCACCGTCCAAAGACATGGGCTATTGGTGAATTGGATATGTGTATGGAGTGTGTATGGATGTTTCCCAGAGCTGGGTTGCAGCTGTGTAAAACATATACCGGACCCCTGATGAATAAAGGGACAAAGCCGGAGGAAAAATAATGAAGGAATGAGTATTTGCAGATGACATGTTATTCTGCAGTCAGTGAGTGCATGTAGGCTTGCGCACAGCTTTGTTCTGGATGTTAATAAAATACATACCATAAAAGATGTTTTTTAAAAAAAAATTAATATTAAAATATACATATTTAGCTTTGGTTTTACAATATGAACATCATTGTCTTTTTTGGTCCAGACCAAATGTACCAACAGAACACAACTGTGTGTGTGAACACACCATTAGTAGCATTAGCTTTGTTTTTTTTTTCGAACAATTTATAGGTGAATTAAAGGTTTCAAAGAGCTTAGAATGACCAAGAGGCGACACTCAATTGAACGTTCCATTGCAACAGCAGCGCCCAGCAACAGCCCTGGATTCCTCCATTTTGGAGTGAAAGTGATCGCCCGTCCATTGGATCTCATTACTGTCGCGATGGCAAGCAGTTGCTTTGTTTTTATTTATCATTTTAAAAAGCGTATTAAAGCTGAGATACAACCTGAAAGACGACAATACAACACTTATTATCACAATCATTAGCACTTTTAATAGTTTATTTTACAGACTTAAAATATGCTGTTGTTCTATTGGAGTTTTTATTCCAACATGGCCGCCGCGCCCTCTAGTGGCTGTTTGCCAAATTACACTAGAGTGTCACCTCTTGGTCATTCTAAGCTCCCCCCCGGGAGAGAGAGCTAGCATTTAGAGCGAGGGATGATATCTGATGAGGTTTAGAGTTTGTAGTTGTATTACAGATAAGTTATATTGATTACATATTATATATATTATTTACATAATGCTTTCAGCATGTTATAACAGCTTGTCACCCAGTGATAAGCACAGTTAGTCTGCAAATTTAACGTTAATGTAAGCGCAGTTCATTTCAGGTACATTTCCGATAGCACCCTCCCAAGTGCATCAAGCTCAAAAAATACAATGAAACTCCAAGAGATTTTACAATAAAGAAGTTAAAGTCCTACAAGTCTTTGGATGAAAGCAATTTTGTTCTGTGTGGTCATATGCAAGATATAATGTTCCATGATTACCAGATTCAAAACTTTGTAGTGCTAAAAACAGAGGTTCTGCCTAGCCAAAGACAAGGAAAGAAGAAGAAACTGTACAAGGCCTGGGTAATCATCAACAAGCAAAACAACTGCATTTTGACAGCAAACTGCACCTTTACGGCAGGGTATGTAAACTTATATTTTTACATTTCATTCTAAGCATTCAGCGTCTGAGTTTAATTAACTATATATAACTATTTTTGATCATTGCTGCAATCAAAAATGAGTAACGTGTATGATTCAGCAAAGCGTGAACCTGATATAAAATGAGAACTGTAGAGTCCAGCATTTATAATTAGGTCCTCACTCCATTCACTTCTTTTGATGGCAGCTTGCCAAATATGTCTGCGGTTGGTATTAAAAGCAGTGTAGTGTACGATAAAATTTAAGTTTTCTATTTTTGGACTTTAAATTTTGGCATCCTACCACACAACTCGACATGTGAAGTTTATGTATAAACAAATTTCGAGAGGATCACGTGCTTATGATTGCTAGCAGCTGACCCGCATTATCTAATTCACTACGATCCAATCAGATGACTCCTAAACTACTATAAATACCCTGGGGTTTATTCCATTGCTATCTTCGTTTTGAAGAGTCCCCCCTTCCTCCCTCCTCCTTCTTACGGTGACACGGTGGCCCAGTGCGTAGCACTGTCGCCTCACAGCAAGAATGTCTCTGGTTCCTGGCTTTACCAAAACTAGCAGACATTTCTGTGTGGAGTTTGCACTTCTCCCCGTGCTCACGTGGGTTTCCCCCGGGTTCCCCGGTTTCCTCCCACCGCCTAAACACATGCAATTAAGTCAATTGAACAATCCAAATTGTCAACATAGACACGCTTCTAGTTAGTAATTAATTTCAAGAGCATTCACTTGCTACAGCAGGGGAGTCCTCGAGATCTACCTGAGCTCAAACTCCCCTCCCGCCTTGCAACGGGAGGGAGCCCTGGGCTCGAGGATCTCATGAGCTCAGGGCTCTCTCCCGGGACAGCATGCCAAACAAGCTTTTATAATTAATCATCAGCTAAGTGTGAACTCTTGAAGTTTGCTATTGCAACCAGTCTTTTTTTGCAACCGGTATGCGCGGTAGAACCCATGTGACAGCATGTGTGACGTATAGGATAAATTGTTAATTGGTAATTCCCCTAGCCAGAATTTTGCAGGCCCATAGCCAGCCTATTAAAAACAGTGGTTCTTTTTTCTCAAAAAGTTGACAATTTTGCAGTTATTTGAGGTTCAAATACTGCTTTTATTGAAATTTTAAGCGCTAATTAGTGCCGGATTAGCTTGTCAGATGATTATCATTATCACACAGTTTGATGCAACAAAAGTATTTTTTACATTTTTGTCAAAGAGCTTATCATACAATTTTTTTCATTTATTTATTTATTTTCTTTTTGGCTTAGTCCCTTTAGTAATCAGGGGTTGCCACAGCGAAATGAATCAGCAACATATCCAGCTAACGCTTTACGCGGCAGACATCCTTCCAGCCGCAACCCATGCACACTCGCATTCACTCACATACACTATGGCCATTTTAGCTTATTCAATTCACATATAGCGCATGTCTTTGGACTGTGGGCGAAACCGGAGCACCCAGAGGAAATCCACGTGAACACGGGGAGAACATGCAAACTCCACACAGAAATGCCTCCTGAGCCGGGACTCAAACCAGCAACCTTCTTGCTGTGAGGTGATCGTGCTACCTACTGCGCCACCGTGACACCCTATCATATTTTTGTTTACAAAAATGTATGTTTGTTTACAAATGTGAATTTAAACTGTTATTAGTTGTATATAATTTAATGAATGTTTTAATAAAAAAAATAATGCTAATTTATTATGGTCTATCATAAAACAAACAAACAAACAAACAAACAAGCAAGCAGAATTGGGAATCTGTTAAAACTTATTTTAAATGAAAAATGTAGCATATAGGCAAATAACAAACTGGCCAGCTCATTTCCCCAGTCAGAATTTATCCATTTAAATAATAAAAGCCTTATTTTATTGGTTATTCCTCTAAAAGCCTTCTTCTATTGGTTATTTTCACATTTCATGATGGCATACTGTCAAAACTGCGACAAATGAGCTCATATAGGAGCCAAATTCTGGACTTTGTCAGAAGGGGAGTAGGTTTTGAACCACCCGAACCACCCCTGGCTACTAGTTTTGACATATATTTTGTACTATATTGAAAAAAAAAACGTTAATATCTAGTAAAAGTAAATGCGTACGTGTTGTTCACAGCCAAGTCTGTTACTTGATTTACTCAGGTCCAGACAGTACAACAATCCGACGAACACAGTGCGCCTTCCCCTTTAAGGAGCCCCCCCTTTTCTCCACAGCAGGGGGAGGCCGAGCCTAATCCTGGAACAGCGATTGAAAAAAAAAATCCACCAGTAGACTGTTTCAAGTTCCCCCAGTAGAAACTGTGCCTGATTTGTGGCCAATGCTGGAGATGTACGAAAAGGGAGGAAAACACTAAGCGGGTAGCTATGGAGATAGACCGTTTTCCTGGCCGCTTCCTTTGACAGGTGTTGAGTAGGTTAAAAGTCTTCAAACAGAGTCCACCATGTACGCCAAAGGGAAAGGAGCTGTCGTTCCGTCTGATAGTCAAGCCAGAGAGAAGTAAGTGAATTTGTGCATTGTCACATATTGAGGGGGGCAAAAGAAGCTGCACGGTCTCTGATGCCTGCGCTGCGTTAATACACGAGACGGACACTTTGCTAAGTAGTTTATTTGCAGATGTTGTCTCGCGCCGCTGTTTTTGTTTACGCATGCTGCTTGCTCTGCGTCTGAAGTAACTTTGTCTGGAGATGTTACCTGGGGGATTGAACCGTGCAGATGCGGAGTTTGTGGAGGCATTGGATCCGTGCATCATCATCATCATCATGTTGATGCTCAGATGCTCTTGTTTGGCACGAGATATTCAGGAGTCCCAGGGTATCATACTTGGTGCACAGAACAATGTTAGACTGTGGACGAGCTACTGTAAAACAGGGTGACAACAGAAAAGTTTTCAATTGTTTTACATCACCAATAGTTGCTTGTTACTGTTACTCCTTCATGTTAGTTTTACTGTAAATCGTTTAGGATTCTCACTTAAAATTTTGAGTTCTCTTGAATTGATTGTGACTTTTTAGACTAGTTTTTATAGACATATAGAACAGGGTCATATATTTAGTGAAAATGTGACATATTGAGTTTCCACATTCATTGAAAACCTGAAAATATCAGGAGTCTAATGTTAAAGTGTTATTTATCTTAATCATTGAAAACCTGAAAAAATCAGGAGACTAACGTTAGAAGTATTATTTCCACACAAAGTCATTGAGAGTGTATAGGGGTGTTTTGTAGTTTGGCTTATGTCTGACATGTTTAATCAGCTGTGTGTTAGTCTTTGTGCTGTAAAAGACATGTAACATTACACTAATGAGTATAATTGCTTCATTCACAAGTTGGGTACCTGGCATGTGAATGAAAACTTGTTACTGAAATCTGTGAATGATTAAAAAAAACAAATCTTGATTGATAGTCATGAATGGTAGGAAATGTCATGAGTCAATTAATGCTGCAACTGTGTTTCAAAGAAATAGAGTATTGCATCTTAGCTAGATCTAATTAATAAGTTGACAGTACAAACTTGTGGAAGATAAACCCTTGTTTTTACTTCAGCATGTCTTGTAAGTGTCTGTTTTTAATCTACCATAGCAAAAATGTGACAACAAAGCTGATTTTCACTCAAGACTTCAAGTCTTCTTCAGTTTCTCATAATCCATCAAATTAAATTATAAAAAAACCAAACAAAAAGCGCTGATGCTTGTGAAACATTTCGTTTTATCGGTGTTGAAAACTACTAATATTTTTCTGGAAGCTATTTAAAACCATGGTACATGCATATTAAATTACTTATTTAATCGAAAGATTTTGTTTTAGATTAATTTTAGGTTCTTTTTGACTGAACTTGCAAAATTTTTACTTGTCCCTGAATCAGAAGCACTGATTGCAATAGTCATCCTTTGTAGACTATTCATATAGACATCCTTTATTATGAAACTTATGAATGAATGTTCAAGCTAAATGATGTGAGCAGTGTTAAAAATAAATAAGAAAATAAGGGAGTATGAATAAATATGAACCATTTTTACTGCCATTGTATGAATAAAAAAAATGAAAATGGCAATACATTTTGAGCTTTTAAAATGCAATATAATCTAATTACAAGTACAGAATGATGAGAATCTGATTACGTTTCCAGATTAGATTTCCAGAGTTTGGTACCTGGCATGTGAATAAAAACTTGACTGATGATCATGAATGGTAGGAAATGTTATGAGTCAATTAATGCTGCAACTATGTTTAAAAGAAATCGATTATTGCATCTCGGCTAGATCTAATCCCAGAGTTGACAGTACAAACTTGTGGAAGTTAAACCCTTGTTTTTACTTTAGCGTAGGGCTGTGCGATTAATTGAAATCAAATCGCAATTTGAAACATTGCGATTATCTAATCGCAAGAGGCTTTGATATGAAATATATTTGTACTATTTAATTGCCGCCTAGGGGCGACGCAGTGGCGCAGTAGGTAGTGCTGTCGCCTCACAACGACAGCAAGAAGGTTGCTGGTTCGAGCCTTGGTTGGGTCAGAGTTAGCATTTCTGTGTGGAGTTTTCTTTCTTTTTTTAATTATTATTTTTTCATTTGTATAGTAAGTTACTCTTTTCTAAGTTGGAGTTCAACTTGTTTACAGAAAGGCAAGGTAATTTTATTTGTGTTTAATGTTTGCTATAGAGCAAAAATGAGTGTTTCATTTTTGAATATTTAAAAATAAATTTGAATAAATGTTTAAGTAAGTCAATATCTTTTCATTTTTTATTAACACTCACTGCATTAACACTCACTGCATTTTCGCAGTAAGAAGCTACGAGACAGATTATTGAGCTGAAGCTTGACTACAAACATATAAAATCAAATAGAAATCCCAATATGTCGAATATGTCGTGTAAGTGTTCATTTGGCTACTTTAAGAGTTTTTCCTCGTTCTTCGTATCATTTTTGAGTAGTCTCAAGATCTCACTTTAATGCATTTTAAAACTAGCAGCTAACTAGTCCAATGAAATAGTTGGATTTGATGAGAGGTATTAATTGGTTTAAAACTCTCATTGCTCTTATTCATTCCACTTTGTTGTTGTAAATTCTCAATTCAAGGTAAATATTTACTATTGACATCTTCGAGCTGTTTTAAATGCATAGGTGGCTTTAATTTGTGCAAAGATGGAGAGTCAAGAAATCTAATTTGTGGTGTTTTGTTCAAATAGCATATTATTAGTATTAGTATTTTAAGCAGGATTCCTCATATCAATAAAAACCTGGAAATAACAAAAGAGAGTTATGGTTTTTACGCAAGTCTTTTTTTTTTTGTTTAGTTAAAGTCTGACATGTCCAATGAACTAAATTCAATAATGTTTACATTATTATTTCAGTCAATGATATTTTATCTTATAACATTTATCTGGAAATGATGAATCTCAAATATTGCTAAAATACTGGGTTAAAAATTTCAAGTCTCAAATATATATATTGGAAGGACATGGTGGCTTAGTAGTTAGCACTGTCACCTTACAGCAAAAGTTCACTGTTTTGAGTCCTTGCAGTATCAGTCTGCATTTCTGTGTGGAGTTTGCATCTTCACCCCGTGGGTTTCCTCCAGGTGCTCCAGTTTTACCCACAGTCCAAAGACAAGCGGTACAGGTGAATTGAATAAACTAAATTGGTCATAGTGTATGAGTGTTTATGCAAATTATGGATGCAAATTACAGGGGGGTTTGGGGGGGATTGATCCCCTCTGAGGGACGTCAAAACAACGTTAATAGATGGGTCAGTGTTTTAATAGCAAGAAATAGTTTGCTCTGATCCGTTTTTTAAATAAAAATGTTATTAATTAAAATAATATAATATATACATTTGACCACCCCTATAACAGTTCATACCTTTGCGAGAGCATAATCACCCCCCCTTGATCATCAATGTATAATTCGCACCCTGGTTGCAGCTGGAAGTGCATCCGCTGTGTAAAACATATGCTGGATAAGTTAGCGGTTCATTCTGCTGTGGTGACCCCTGATGAATAAAGAGACTAAGCCGAAGGTAAATTAACGAATGAATGAATGAACTATATATATTCCAAGAAAAAGACCCTAGAAAGTTGTAACATTTGTAATATTGTCCAAAAGCTACTTGTAAGTCAGCATATCTTATAATTCAGTGTCCAATTTAGCTAGTAAAAATTCATTCTCATATATATAATTTTTGAACAGTACTATAATTGGATTACTTAAAATGATGATGATTAGAGTAGAAGAGAGTGGCAGGAAAAGTGTAAAATGAGTAGTTGAGATGGTCTATTAAAATCAGGTTTCATACTGTTCATTCACATTTATATTATATGTCTTGGATACTCAAGGTCTTTTGTTTTTCCAGAAAATTTCGGGTTGAATGAGTGATTCATTTAAGCTGAAGTATTGTCATTGTTGGCCTGTTTCTAGCCTTAGTTTTTACCTTAAAGTTCTTAAAGCACTATGTAATCAAATGTATGAAAGAACGGATCTATAGGAAGTCTATTGTTCCAGGCCAAAAGAGCAGATGGACTCTCAGTTTGGCAGTGTTAGCGCGAGAGTGCAGTGCTTAAGGAACTTTTTAGGAACTTGTCATTTTCACCCTTCTCGTGCGTCTGTGTTGGGTGAATAATTAATAGGAGAGTTGAAAACATGATTTCCTAACGGTGCCTTTGTAGGACGGTTATGTGTGATTCATTCATGTTTAAAGATGGTTTTATCAGAGAGCCTCGGGCGAGATGTCAGGTGTGCTCAAGGCATACATTTGGCAGATTTCTTTGATGTGAGGACTCCGTGTGGGCTCTGTTGTGATGAGAGCGGAACGCGGGGACCCGTTTATCTCTGGCGATACATTACAGAGATTTTTCCTTTGGAGCTGTCATAAACTGTCATCTGATTTGTCGTCATCTTGGTTGATGTTAAATGAAAAATGTCACATCCCTGAGTTCTTTTGAAGGAATGTTTCACCTAAAACTTTGATTTTAGTGATTTTAAATGTAATGATTTTGAGTGATTTTCACGTTATTTTCCCCTCACGCCTGTCTTTCTAAAATGTACTTCTGCTAATTAAGTGGAACACTAGTGTTGTAACGGATCACAAATCTTACAGTTCGCATCACAAATGTTTTTTTTTTTGTCACGGATCGGACCATTTTTTGGATCAGCCAAAAAGGGGAGGAGAAAAATGTCATTTCCTTTCCGTTTATTATATGTTTGTTAAAATTTTAAAGACAACAGAACATGGGTTGCTCTACAAATATTTTTTTTTATGGTAAGAATAAAAGCAAAAAAGGCACACTTACTAAATAATACAGGTTTTTTTTTTTTGATTTAACCCGCTCCACAATTCACACAGCTAGTTTCTGTCCTCTTCCTATGCTAAAAAGGCAATAATGGTCCAACATTCCTGAGCATGATAACCAATAAAGCCTAGAAAAAACAGGCCATCAGTATATTGTAAACGGATAGGTTCAAATATTCATTTCCAGTCATCAAAGAAATAGTTTGTTCCTTA